CCATTTCCCCCCCATCTGCCCCCTCCCTCGCCCCAGGAGGAGCATTCATGTCATGAAAAGAACTGACAGCTGCTTTGGATTAAAATTAGCTTTCCTTATCCTCCCCTGCCTTCTGTCCATTACTTTTTAGTCTGGCCTAATTCCCTGACCTGGCTTGGCAGTCAGCCACAAAGATGCTTTTGCTCTTTCAAGGAAGGTCATGATAGAGAGGCAGTGACTATGGAAGGACAGGACTGGGTTTGTTTTTTATTTATACAAGCCTATACTGAACACTGAACTGCAGCCTAACAAACCAAACTGCTATTTCTTGGATTTTTAAGCTGCAAACCATGTGGATGATTGAAAGAGAGGAAGCAGATTTACAAATGTGGCATCTTTGGCAGTCTGGAATAATTCCCTTCAGTGAACGCTTCAAGGGCAGGAAGAAGTTATGAGAGAGATTCCTTTCCTTAGGCCAAAGCTTAGGTTTAACATATTCCAGAACTAACTGGATGGCAGTTCTAACTGGTTGTTTTAGAGAACTGGAACAAGAAATCAACTGTAGCAACCTTTTGCTTATTGATTAATAACGCTTTAATTTGAAAGGAAAGCTTGGGCAAGAAAGGGTGATGCCACCCTGAAGGACCAAAAAGACCCGAAGGGATGGAACAGCTGTTGCCCACCAGGAATCTGTGAGAGACTTTAGGTCATGTCCTGTGCTTGGATGTTCAGGTGAAGCTATTCTGCTTGTCTGCACTGAGGAAGTCTTGCATGTTATCAGTGACCTAGGATTTGAATAATAAATCGCATCTTGGTTCGTAGGTTTTGGTTGCTTGTTTCAGTTTTTTTTGGCAGAGTTTTTGGTGTCACTGGAAAATGTAGCTTTTCTATCTGTGTGTGTTTTGAGGGAGGAGTCACTTTTAATGAAGTATATTAATTTATAAATTTTGATGAAAATTGGGTTGGGATTCTCTTTTAGATTAAGAAAGCACAGTTTTTATCTTTTTTGATGGAAAATTATTTAATTGGGATGTACATGCATGTAAAACTGCAGAGCAGAGCTAGTAAAAGACTTGATTGTGTTTGTGACTGAATAAATTTACTGATTTACATTGTACGTTTGGGGTTTTTTAAACAAAATTTCAGGGATTGATGTTTTATGTGACTTGGTGTTAGTTGGGTTTGGTCCTGTCTCCCCAGAGTGGTCTCTGTTATGTTGTTCTTTTGGCATTAGCAGGGTTCACTGCCTCTGTTTGAACCAGCACTTTATGATTTAAGTAAAAGAATAAGGGGAAAAGACTGAAAATTGGATTTGGAAATAAAAATGATCTGACTGTGGCAGTTGTGCAGTAGAGTATCTACTGCTCAAAATTCAACAAAGATAAGCATTATCTCTGATAGCTGAAAACCCAGCTCCTGTTTTGGTTTGTCTAAATCTGTCACATCTCCTATGCAGGCTGTTGCTGTCTAGCCAGCCAAGTAAAGATGTGAAAATTAAGTAAGACTTCAGCTTTGTTTAATTTATAGCTCGAAGTTACAGCCTGTAACACTGAAAATTAAGGGGAAAATAAAAAGAATAAAAGTTGGGATCTTTATAGAGCTCTTAACTGTGGTGAATTTGCTTTTATAAGACTGGCAAAATACTGTCTAGCTCAAGACTTCAAAATTGTGAACAGGATTAGAATAAGATTTTGCCTTTGTTCCAAATTTTGAGTTGCAATGGATGAGAACAATTCTTATTTTACAATTGCTGCACGCTGTTAATTAATTCCTGAAAATCTCCCAAAAATCAGATTCTAGGGATCCCTTCTAGTCTTTAGGCACTGCAGCTGTAATTACTCTTAATTTACTGTTTCTCCTGTTTCTCTCCCTTTTTCTCCGTTTTTTCCATGCCCCTCTCTTCTCCACTTCTAGTCCTTCCCAGTATTCCACAGAAGTGTTTACAGTATGCTGTTAGAGTAATTAATAGCACTTTCATTTTAATAGCAAACTTGTATGCAATTAATAATTCTTATATGATCCTTCATTTGCTAAGAACTTCTAGGTTCTGCTGGTATATTCCAGCAAGTGAGCTCTTTCAGAACTGCGCCATGTTTTTTGTTTTGTGTTCTTGACTGAAGGTTCTTACCCATTGCAGTTGGGTAAGTTAGTTTGCTCTGCATCACCAGTTTTTAACATAATTAATGTTTGAACAGAAATATGAAGATCAAAACCTGGCTCCCAAATTAAAACAAAAAAATAGATTAATGAGATATTAAATTGATGCAGAGTTTGTTTATCTAGCCTTTGTGACTTTGCATCTCTTCAAGCAGAAACAAGACAAAATTCTTGCTGGTTGGTTTTTCGCAAGAGAGCCAGTAAATGTGTCTCACCGCAATGTTAAGACAAGATTGACTTGCCTTGTACTGGACTTCTATCACATTGGAATTTTTTCCCCATCATTTTTATACTGTGAGAAACAAAGCATTTTTTTCTGATTGACATTCTCTTTCAATGATACCATTTTAGTTTGTGCTTTGAAGAGTTTCCCAGCTACTACAATGTTAATTGGTGTTCACTCTACTTCCTTTGAGTGTATTAACACTTAGTTGTGTTTATTTTCAAAG